TTTTCTGATCAATTTGAATACTTCTTTTGTTTTTTTTAAGTTCGAGTCAAATTAAATTTTCTCAATTTGAATATTCGAAAAATATATTAATAAATTAGTGTATATATTCATTTGGGTAATTGTCAATTTTGAAAATAAATAAATCAATTCATCTTAACAAAATATTCAAATTAATTTTCAAAGTTTTGAAATATATATAAAAATATTTTCATAAGTTTTAAATATATATATATATATACATACAATTCCCTTAAAATTCAATAACATTATAAAATAAATCTCAAGACAAATTAAGTTATATAATAAAAATGCTTTTGATTTATTGAAGTTTTATTAGGTTGAAATATTAAATAAGTAAGATATCAAACATGATTTATCATATAACTTAATTACCATGATTTTTAATTACTCAATTTAAATTAAAACCAACCAACCATAGCATCATATCTAAAATATATCCGGAAAAAAAATTATAACAATGGATTGATGAAAATTTTCATTTGAAAGTTAGTCAAGGTACAATAACGAATATACTCATGTGATCATTTGAATACCTTTCGACTAACTTAAAAAAAGAGGAGATACCAAGAGACACAAACCAACAAAATATCCAGAGATGGAGAAAGTTCTTTATGTGTGGTTTCTCCAAAACCAAGAGCATGTAAACATGTTCAAAAAGTTAATTTTAGAGAAGATAAAAGAGACGATGAAACTTCTATACCCTCAATAACCTCATGAATCGCTCAAATTTTTTCATGGTTGGCTTGAGAAGTTAAAATTAATACAAGATAATAGGTTATTCCGTCGCTTTGGAGAGTGATTTTGTTGACATAGAAGACATGGAGAACAATTTGGTGGATATAAGGGAAAAAATAAACCAATATCCTATGAAGGATGTTTTTAATATGGATGAAACTGATTTATGTTACAGATTATAAGTTGATCATTCTTTTACAACGAAATAATTTAAAAGAAGAAAACAAAGAAAAAAAACCTTTGTTTATTTGCTGTAATGCGAATGACACTGAAAAAATTCTTTTATGGGTTATTGGAAATTACACAAAGTTATGTAGCTTCAAAAATGGCTACATGAACCACTTGAATTGTCAAAATATCATTCCAACACAAGAGCATGGATGACTAGTGTGTCTTTTGATGAATATGTTCGTCGACTGGATCAGAAAATGCATGGTAGAAGATTTTTTTGGTGATAGATAATTGCCCAAATCATCTAAACAATATTTAAGGGCTACATAATATTTGGTTGTATTGTTTTTCCACCCAACATGACATCATAAACCCAACTATATGATGCAGGGTAGTAAGAACTTTCAAGATGCACTCTCGCAGGAGATTTTACCGTAAGGCATTAAAGTGCTATGAGTTGGGAGAATCTGATCTAGAAAAGATTAATGTTTTAGATGTCATCAATTTTGCAGTTTCAACTTGCATGATAAATGTTTGACAAGTGACAATAGCAAATTATTTTCGACACTGTAAAATTCGATCACAGAATGAAGTAGCCTTAAGAAATTTAAATGAAGGAACTATTGAAGAAGGCATTCATGAACTTGATACGATAATTAATGGTATTGGGTACCGCAACAAAATAGATGTCAATCACCTATTGGATTACCCGAGTGAAAATGATACATGTTTAGATATCCAAAATCATATGTCCAAAGTTTAAAAGAAATTGTAGCTAGTGTTATTGAAAAATTATATTGAGTAATAAACTGAAGATGATACAATGCCTTTTCTTTAATTACATGGAAGGAAGCACTCGTAGTGACAACAACTCTTCAAAAAATTGTTGCAGTATGAGAACAAAATACCTAAACTTTTGAAAGCAATAAGAAAAGTTAGAGACGAAATAAAACTAGATTTAAATTTAAAAAAACAAACAAACAACAATATAATTATATTTTACTAAGTTCTCCTATTTATATTTGTAATTTTATAGAATTATTAATTTATAATATTGAAGGGACCATAAATTTATATAATGATCTTCCATAAAATTATAATCTTTTAATTTATAGAAATTATGAATTTAGACCTAGGGTCCAAATCAGGAATGAGAAAAATTATTATTTTAGAGAGACTATTAATTTATCGAGTATTAATTTATAACCTCTAAGATAAGATGTTATTTTCCCGATTCTATTCAAAAAGTATTAATTTGTTTATGATTATTATATACGGTGGTTTCTTCAATATCAGCACCAAATTATAATTTTGGTCTTATTCACCACAAATTGTACAAATTCTGGTATAAATTTCAAGCAAATCATTCGAAATACCTACTCCCACTGTCCAAGGAAAATGGACCTCCCACTAGGCTTCAGATTCCATCCTACAGATGAAGAGATCATCAGTCATTATCTAAAGCCGAAGGTTTCACCTTCCTCGAGTCATCAGCTGATCCCCATTATTGCCGATGTCGATATCTACAAGTTCGATCCATGGGAACTTCCCGGTAGTACTCTTTTGCTTGTCATCTGTTACAACATGTATTGATATCTTATGTACATTCATGGCGTCTACGTATACTTTGTCTCATGTTTTACAGATAAGGCCTGTTTCGGGGAGAACGAGTGGTTTTTCTTCAGTCCGAGAGAACGGAAGTATCCGAACGGAACGCGTCCGAATCGAGCGGCCGCGTCCGGTTTCTGGAAAGCCAGTGGGACTGATAAACCGATTATCACCTCTGTTGGCGTTGGTTCGCAATCACAATGTCTAGGAATGAAGAAAGCTCTTGTGTTTTACAAAGGGCGTCCAACGAAAGGTGTAAAAACGGATTGGATGATGACCGAGTATAGACTTGTCGATGGTTACTTTGTATCTCATAGGCCTAAAGGATCCATGGAAGTAAGTTACTTTCTTCCTCGTCGATTCAACACTTATAAGCGGAGTTTCTTAACTTCAATCTCTTTGTGTAATCATCTTGTTTTAGTTGAACGATTGGGTTCTATGCCGAGTTAGCCATAAAGGCAAACTCAGTCAACGAGTAGGAGGAAGAAGCTCTGATATGGTAACACAAAACACCATTATTGAAGGCAGTGATCCTCTTACCCCGACCTCTCAAACAACCATGATTCCAATGTAAGAGAGGTGCTGGATTCCATTGCAAGGGTTCTCCCTGTTGGACCTCTCAAAAAAATTATTCTGATATGTGTAAAAAGTATAAGATATATTAAAAGTAAAAAAGATATAAGTGTTATTATTTATTGATTCTTTTAATTACTTGTGTATTATGAGTTACAAAGCCATTATTTATAGGACTAAAATTATAATCATAAAAGAGCATTACAAGAAGGTGAATGATCAAGGGTCTAAAAATTTGAAAATATCAACATTTAATATAATTGGTAACATAATAATTAATTTCATTTGTATTTGAAATGACATTTAAGTCCTAAATTGATTACTAGATAGGAAGAAAGACTTAGCTGATTACAATATTGACATTTTAAAGATTTAATTATAACATTTTAAGGTTTATAAATTAATTTAGAAATCTAAGAGATAGTTTATGGGCATTTAGTGAACTTAACCCTAATCCAAATGACTTGTGTAGATCTTAGTTCTTATATATTTCTTTGGATCAAAATTCGATTACCTACATGGCCCAACATAAAATAGACTTTCTCCACCCATATGGGCTTCATGAGCTTGACAATTGACTTACTAATTTACATTCTTTAACTTATTGTAATAATCGAGTACGAGTTCGTATATACAGAGTTATGTTTACGACTGGAATATCAATTCACACATTAAATATTTTTAATTTTTATATAAATTTATAAAAAAAATTAAAAATATTCATTTTTTGAATTTTGACACTATAATCCAAATTTTTTTATTCTATCTCTACGAGTTAATACTTAGTTGGTAATACAAGTTTGATAATGATTAAAAAGAGTTTTGTTCTCGTTAGAGGTTCTGATTTTGAACCTATGCGCCAGCAGGGTTAACTTGAGAAAAATTTTGAACATGATATAACCTTATAATCATCTTCGGTTATTAAAAAAACTTCATAAATGGCTTGAAATGGGGTTTTAAATTGTGATATTTTAGAGTTGAGACCATGAAGGGAAAAGGGGTGGAAGATAGGAAATTTTCTATAGATTTTGGCACTCCATTCAAACTATTATGGTCCCTCTCTTGCTGCATTCAACGTGTTTCAGCAGTGTTAGGGACATGGAGACCTTCATTTCAGACCCATTTAGCTTAAGCCACTCGTGCACTCATCACAGCTGCTAAAAGCAACTCACTCTAAGGTTTTAATTACTCTCAAATCCACAATATATAAGTAAAAATGGAATTTATTTGACATCATTTTATAAAATAAAATGGAATTTATTTGACATCATTTTATAAAATAAACTTAGTGATTATTTTAGTTATTTAAAAAAACAGATGAGAGAAATGCTGACCATTACACTACTTTGTAGAGTTCGTAATTCAATAATCGAGTATTAATGTCTAATACGCCTCGTTACAACTTGGGATCAACCGAGGGGTTGACGGAATAATTGTTTTTCTTGAAAATTCCAATTTCTCGTATAATTTAGAAAGTTTTTATTGATGACTTATTTTAGTTTCCTTAAAATTTTATTTGTTCACGTACATAATATAAAATTCTATGTCTGCTCCTGATTACCAATTTTTCTATCATTTTCACTATCCGTAGACAAGAGAACATGCAGAGCTATCTAAATCATGTTTGAAAGCAAAACTTGGCCTAACTCGGAAACAAAGCAACAAAGCTAAGTGTATTATTAGTAGTGGCCCATTATGCTGGGAATTTTTGGTTTATCTCAATGGACCAATTTGTAGTTGAAGTTAAATTGCACAAAGTGAAAGCGTTGGTTTTAATGTCTGCAGTAAACTGTCAAATGTTGGAAGATGCTATGCTTTGTGGGTGCAATAAATATGAATATGTAAAAACTTAATGAGATGAACAAAAACAACCAATGGAAGGCGACAACATGGAAACAAATCTTTGAAGGCAATGATCTGAAACTATGGTTCTTGTCCTCTCCCACTTTCCAAATTCATGGATGGATGAGTAAATGGTTTATACGGCCCTTGGTGAACCAACCTTACCTAACTAGTAGTAGTAATTACGCATCAAATCGAGTTTTGTCGGACCTTTAAACAAATACAAACTCTCCTAATATTGTTTTCTCCCTTCACAAGACTCCAACCCCAGATTTTACAGTGTCATCTGCCTCTCCTTTGATCATTTCATATCCTACTCCTTTTTCCTCCCCACTAAACAGAATGGTTGAGAAGGCAAAACTTTGAGAGCAAAAAGGGTGCGTTGCAGTTTGTGGTATTGTTTCTGCAACAAGCTATCAGTCTCAAGCTACGCTTCCTTGATCCGAGGAGTCTTCGTAGTAATAAGGAGTCAATTTCCCATCCTTTTTAGTACCCTTCAGCTGGTTATCGGCACCGGCTTCTTGCAGCATCTTCACCACCCTTCTCATTGTCGGGCGGTTGATTGGGAGTGGACTTGTACAGAGGAGGCCGATGTTGAGTACCTTGTATATTTCTTCTTTGAAGCACGGATCTAGTTTGGAATCAAGAACATAGTCCACTTCTTTCTGATCCAGGGCGGTGCAGACCCACTTTACGAGGTCCTTCTCCCCGAACTCCGGGTCGATCGGGAGTCTACCTGTGACCAACTCGAGTATCACTACTCCGAAACTGTATATGTCACTCTTCTCGTTCACCCGAAGAGTATATGCATACTCTGCACCAAAAGTTTTCATAGACAGATTAGATTTTGTGAAGATTAACATAACTAATACATTTGATCACTAGACCGATAATAAAGGTTATCAACAAACCTGGAGCAATGTAGCCACATGATCCTGCAATGACAGACATCGACTTAGCAACCTTTCCGGCTGCATCGACAACCTTGGCCACTCCGAAATCCGCCACTCTAGCGCCAAAATCCCCATCTAATAAGATATTATTGGACTTGACATCTCTATGCACGATCGGAGGCACACAATCATGATGCAAATACGAAAGCCCCTCGGCCGCATCCACGATAATCTTGTATCTTGTAGGCCAATCGAGCAAACCACTTTTGCAGCTATGCAACAAATCTCCCAAGCTACCATTCGGCATGTACTCATACACCAAAAGCTTGCAATCTCGAGTAGTACAAGAACACCATAACTTGACAATATTCTTGTGCCTAATCTTCCCCAACGTCTCAACCTCAGCTTGGAACCCATCGTCATGAACCGGAGACTCGGCCTGAGCCTGACCTTTCTCGAGATCGACACTGTCACAACCCTTTTTCACTCTTCCCCAAAGCTTCTTAACAGCTACAGCATAGCCGTTACTAAGCACGACCTTGTAAACTTTCCCGGATGCACCTTTACCTATCACATTATCCTCATCAAGACAATCCAATATCTCATATTCACTAAAACCCAGTTTGTGGAATGACATCAATGTCCACTTCGATTTATCAATAGCCTTAGCTTTCTTGTAGTTCCTGTATTTCAAGTAAAACCAAACCACACCAACAACAAAAACCAATGCAGCTAGAACAAAAATGGATCTAAGCAACCAAACATAGCCTTCATGCTTATCTTCATCCCTCCTAGCACATGAAACACTGAAATTACCACACAAATCAGGGTTCCCCAGGAAGCTGTTATTGTACATGCCTTTATCGAACAGAGGCGGTAACTCACCAGATAACAAGTTATTCGAGAGGTTAAGCTGATTAAGCTTCAAATTCTGCAGGCCAATCGGAATTCGTCCTGTTAACCGATTACCAGACAAATCAAGATAATTTAACACTGATAAACTCGCTATTCCATCAGGAATTTCCCCGGAAAACTTATTAGCGGCTAAGTTCAACTCGTTTAGCTTCTTCAAAGATTCGATCCCGCTAGGCAGTTCACCTTTGAGCTCATTCCCATGAAGATCAAGAACCCCTAGTTCATCAAGCTTCACCATACTTTTAGGCAACACCCCATTGAATTTGTTGTCACTAGCAGAAAGCTTAGCTAAGTTTCCAACTAAACCAATTTCTTCAGGCAATGATCCATTAAACTGGTTCTTAGATATAATCAAAAGCGACAAATTCTTGGCATTTGCAATGGATTTCCCTATCTTCCCAGAGAATGAGTTATTAGCGAGATCGAGTAAATAAACATGGGGAAGGCCCCAAAATCGGGTTGGTATTTCGCCGGATAATTTGTTGTAACCGAGTCGGATCCGGTTCAGGCTTCGACAATGCGCTAAACTCGGTGGTATTTGACCCGAAAACGAGTTGTATATCATTAGCATATCTTCCAGTCTCCCTTTCTCGCATAAACTGGGTGGGATTGGACCGGTGAATTGGTTGCTGGAGACATCGAACCATCTCAGCGGTGAGTTTTTGCCGAGATTCTGTGGTAAGTCACCGTTGAGTCGGTTCTGAAAGATTCTGAGCTCGTACAGAGCTGGTGAGTCAGCAATACTCGGTGGTAATGTTCCTTCAAATTTGTTGGAGTACAGGTTGAGACTTTCAAGTGGCAGCCGAGTCAACTCGTCCGGAATCTTTCCAGTTAACCGGTTCATCGACGCGTCGAGGAGTCTCAGATTAGTCAAATTGGAGAACCCCCGAGGTAACTCGCCGGTCAGCGAGTTGTTGTACAGCTCAATCTGAACTAGACTAACCGACTCAGTGAGTGAACTCGGTATGCTCCCCACTAAATGGTTAAGTGCCAAGTCTAAATCAGCGAGTTTCTTGAGTCGCCCCAGGGATTCAGGAATCTCCCCGACTAAATTACACTCGGTCAGCCACAAAATCTCCAAGTTCGTCAAGTTTCCAAGCTCCGGCGGGATCCGACCCGGACTAAACGGGTTGTACGACAAATTCAGCATTTTCAGCGTAGTAATGTTACCCAAAAAAGCAGGGATTGTCCCATCAAGGAGATTGTACACAAGAGACAAAACCTCGAGAGTCTGGAACCCACCAAACGACGCCGGAAAGTCGCCGGAGATATTATTACCGGTTAAATCGAGGTATTTCAAATTAGGGAGGTCAGCCAAAGTGTGGGGGAGTTCGCCGGTGAGGAGATTCTGGGAGATATCAAGGTGAACGAGATTTCGACACGTGGAGATATCGGGTATGGTGGAATTGACGTTGTTGTAGTAGAAGCTAACGTAAGAAAGGTTCTGGAGCCGACAAAGGACTGAAGGGAAAGGGCCGGCGAGGTTGGCGTTGGAGAAGTCGAGGGATGTGACTGAACCGGTGGCGCCGTCGCATGAAACGCCGCGCCAGTTGCATGGGGTTGGATCACGTGAGTTCCACGAAGAAAGGGCTGAGTCGGGGTCGGAAAAGGAGGATTTGAGTTCCAGAAGGTAAAGACCTTCTTGGTTGAGTGAAAGCGAAAGTGGAGGGAAAGTGGAGAGGAGAAAGGAGAAGAAAAGGAGAAACATATTTTTATTGTGGGTTAAGGGAAATGGGGTATTTTTTGGTGTGAATATATTTGAATTTGAGCGAATGGGGCTGTGTTCTGCCATTACAGAGACATGGAATGAATGAAAATTGCAGCAATGAATGAGCATGAGGGAGGGATGATTATCGAGAAGAAAGAGTGGGCAGTCTTATGATGTGGACATTTTTATTGTTGTCTACTCTGGAAAAAAGTATTAATATATTTAATAATTAATAATACGATAAACCCAATTATTAGGCTACTCAATTTTCCATCAAAAAAAATGTTCACACAGTCAACATTTAAAAGGTTTCAAATAAGTAGCTATCAAAACGTTTCATCCTGAAGTGGAAACACCCCAATGTAATTACAAATTTGAAGTTAACTTGAAGTAAGAGCAAAATCTTTCTCCAATTTCATGTTAATTAAACCATCTTTCGCGTCTATTATTGACTTTTTATTATTTAAAATTTATTATTAATAAAAATATAAAGAAATAAAATTTAATTTTTTCTAATCAAGTAGTATTGAAGTGTATATTTAATAATATTTATTTTTTTAAAATAATTATGGTCAAAATTTAAAGATTTTAATTTTTAAAAAATCAATAAAAAATATTTTTAGTGAGATAGAGATAGTGCAAGTTCTGAATACGATGAGATATAAAGTCTTTAAAAATAAAATTAAGAATTTAAATATTAATGTTGCAAATGAAAAAAATGTATCAAAAAGATCTATTCATACTGAAGCTTTGTACTACCATATTAGAATTAGGCTTTATAGTAGCATATTAGAATTAGTCATCTAATGAGTTGAATATAAGTTGTTATACGAAAAAATAATTAATTAGTACTCTATAAATATTTGGGTAAATTACTTATTTGACCATCCATTATTCTTGTATTAATGTTTTAATCCTTGAATTGCTTTTTTAAAATTATATTTTATTTTTGTTCATTAAAAGTGGCGACAGCATTAATATGATATTTATTTAGATCCTTGTAATGTCTATGTCATTTTTTAAATTATGATATTTTAATATAAATGCGAAATGTTGAATAAATGCTTGGGTCTTCCCTCATCCACCTTCCAAGAATCTTCATCAATTTTTTTGAGGAATGAGCTTTGAAAGAATTGAATACAAGTGGCCGAAGGAGTTGGCGACAAGGTCAGTAAATACACTTCACTGTTCAGAGCCGGACAACAGTTGTATGATTCAGCTTAGATCCAAAGAGAAACTACGGTAAAACTATTTTCCAGGTCCCTATACTATAGCATGGATTTCATTCAGTCCCTATAATTCTAAAATAAAAAATAAGGTAAACTATACCATAGACCACCCAACTATAGTCTCTTTTCATTTTAACCACCATTTTTGAATTCTTGTCAATCAGGCCACTTGCCATTAACATTTTAACGGCAAGTGTTGATGTGGCAGTTAATAAAATTGATATAATTACACATTTGGTCTTATTTATATATTATCTCAATTTGGTCCTAACTTTAATAAATTAAAATTAATTTAATTTTCACCAACCAGATGATGACACGTGTCACCCAGTGATAATGGGGCACATAAGATTCAAACTAGCAACCATTGGGGGATAAGGGAGAAGCCCAACCATTAGGCCAAGTTCAATTTTTGGTTTAAAGAAGACTACATATGTATATATATTGTTTCCTAGTATAATCTTAAATTTTTAATTATAAAAATATATATTATATTATTTTTTCTTAATTTATCGAATATAAGTTTTTTGGTTTAAAGTAGGCTAAGTTTATTATTTGAGGTAAAAATATATATTAAAAATATTTTAAAATATTTAAATTCTTAGCTATAAATATATATTATTATTATTATTATTTCTTAATTTATAAAATTTATTTTTTTGGTTTAAATTAGGCCAATTTTATTATTTGAGGTAAGAATATATATTTAAAATATTTAAATTATTAACTATAAAAATATATATTTTATTTTTTCTTAATTTATCGAATATATATTTTTTGGTTTAAAGTAGGCCAAGTTTATTATTTAAGTTAATAATATATATTTAAAATATATATTCAAATTCCTAACTATAAAATATTTTTTTTATTCTTATTTTATTGAATATATATTTTAAAATATTATAAAAAAATTTAAATATTTAAGTTAAGATTTAAAAAAATATTTTATAGTTAAGAATTTAATATTATACTAGGAAACAATATATATACAATATGTAGTCTACTTTAAACTAAAAAATGAACTTTGACCTAGCGGTGTTGCTTCTCCCTTCTTCCACAATGGTTTTCTTTCCACTTGTTGAAAACTAAATATATTAAATTAAAATAAATTAAATCCTTCAATCGGGTGGCAACACGTGTCATGATATTTGGTATTAGTAACACATGGTATGTTCTGATTCAAATATTAAATTTATTTTAATTTACTTAATTTAGGACCAAATTGATGTGATATATAAGTAACCGTGACCAAATATGTAATTATACCAATTTTATTAACTACCACATCAACACTTTCGTTAAATGTTAACGGAAAGTGACATGATTGATTGCATTTAAAGTTGGGTGGCCTGATTGACAAGAATTCAAAAATAGTGGTCAAAATAAAAAAAGATTATAGTTGGGTGGTCTCTGGTATAGTTTACCCTAAAATATATTATTTAGAATATTATTTAAATGATGTTATGTTATTTAGAATATACACGGTGTATTCATCAAATCCATTATCGAATATTACATATTCTTTGAAATTTTTATGTTTATAATAAATTATTTAATTATTTCGTTTGTTGAATTAAGAAACGTAAAATCACATTAAATCTACTTTTCATGTGAATTATTTCATATTGATCGCAAATTTTATTACCTTTTTATTATATGTTCTTAAACATTACAATTACAAAGAGATAATTATACAATATATCCTTAAATTATGAATCTCATTTTAAATTGGTCCATACATTTTAAAACATTTCATATCAGTCCTAAACTATAACCCTTATACTAAATTAGTCTCTAAACTTTAAAATATTCTATATCAATCCTCAAATTATGACCTCATTCTAAATTAGTTCTTCAATTTTAAAATATTTTATATATCAATTCTCAAAGTATCAATATCATTTCGTTTTGAACATTCTGTTAACATGATGTTAATTCTACTAGTTTTGGAAAGCCATGAGAAAACTATTTATTTTTTAATATATTGAGAATTGAACATGTGAAATTCTAAAATAAATCTATTTTATTTTTTAGAAGGTTTGAGATTTTTTTTAGAAGGTCACACGATTAATTCTTATGAAATTAAAAATAGATTAATCTTTTAACCAGTAGAATCAACGTCACATTAATGAAAGGATCAAAATATAATGATGGCTTAAACATAGAATAAGTGCCTAAACTATAAGGTTGTTCATGAATATGTGCCTAAACTATTTTTTAATGATTCTGATGCCTAATGTTATCATTTTAGGTATCCATGCTGTCAACGATGTTAATTTCTTTCATTAAGTGTTAAAATTATATTTTTAAAAAGGAAACCCAAAAATATTGAAATTTTTATATAAAAAACCCCAAAACTTTGAAAATCCTAATTCCAATCTCTAACCCACTTAAATTATTATTATTATTATTATTATTATTTTAAACCCCTCAATTTATTTAAAATATAAAAAAAATCCCTATTTCAAGGTCGAGCATTGTCGTTGCCGCCAAATATTCACCCTCTGTCATTAGACCTTACTGTCGACCATCCCTATATTGTATTCTCCAGCCCCCCTATTTTCCTTCTTTTATTCCAATGTTGCAATGAGAAAATAAAAATAGTTGCAGAAGAGTCTCCTTCACCAACTCCACAACAACAACAACAATAAAATCATATTCTCATATGCAATGGGTTAAGGGGAGGTGGTGCAGTAGGATGGCTTTAACGTAAAGTTGAGAGCAACTTCCGTGTAAGACCTCCGGCAGTCAGAAAAATTAAAAATAAAGATAAAATGCAATGCATGTATAAATAAATAAATATATAGTTGAACATTCTTCATATGCAGTCTTCATATGCGCGTCTGAAATAGGAAGTAATCCCTGCAAATAAATCTATGCGTAAAAATCTATACATATAGACAGAAACGTAAGACCCAGCTAAATTTAAAAAGAAGAAACCTACACTAAGTAGGGGTGTGCAAAATTACCCGACCCGGTTGACCCGACCCGGATCTAAAAAAACCAGGTAATTCTCTAAAAAAATTACCCGACCGGGTCGGATACCCGGCCCGCCATTTCCCGGGACGGGTCCGGGTTACAAAATCTAGTTTTTCCGGGTACCCAGTTACCCGAATACACGGTTAGTTTTTATTTTTTATATACAATTATATAAAATATAATAAATTATTTATATTATGGATTATTATATTTTGTATTTTGAACTTTTAAATTTTATGTTCGGATATTAGAGTATGTAATTTGAAGTTTCGAACATTTAAATTTGTGTATATATTTTTTAAAATTAATAATTTGAAAATAAAAAATTAAAAACCGGGTATCGGGTACCAGCAAAATCCGGGTACCTGTAACATCCAGGTCGGGACACGGGTCGAGAAATCGTCGATCCGGAATTTCCGGGTACCCGGAAATCGGGTACCCGGATTTGCACACCCCTAACACTAAGACAACACTACTTCGCTACTTTAATTTTAAGTCTTCATCAATTAAAATAACAAAAACGTATAAAAAGTAGAAGTCACAATAATTATTACAAAATCTAATTCATCAACTCCCTTGTTTTTAAATGTTTAAGTAATCTCAAGGGAGGATTGGGAATTTGCGCCAATAATTTTCTTCTTTCTAAATACCGTGTCAACTTGAACCAATAATATACAGAAAAACCATGGAAGAATTGGTGAACGAGGGTGAGGTGGTTGAGTGGCATCATGATTTTTGGCTTTTAGGGTTTATTGCAATTCAATGAAAAGTGAGATGAAAGATATCAAAGGAGATCAACAAAGGGTGGATGGCCGATGACGGAGACGGTGGTCGACGACGAAGGCAGTGGTCGGGACAGCCAGTAATAGTAATAGGATTTGGATTTTTTTTTGTAATTTTAAAGAAAT